CTCCGTAATAGGAGAAGCATTTACCAGAGCTTCAATTGGGAATAACAGTTGGCAGGTAAATTTCGTGCTGTGCCCAGAATTAGCTTGGGACGTACTGTTAGGAGCGGACCTTTTACGCCAGTCCCGAGCAGTTATGGACTTCGATACGGGCATGTTCACAACTCATTAATGGCCCAAGAAGAAACGTTTGATCCCTAAACCAAGGGAAGACGCAGATGATATATGCAAATCACTTTTCTTTGCCCTTTGCCATCCCTGGGACAAATTTAAGCGATCTCTGCGCTCAAATAAAACAGGTTACTGAAGATGAGAGGAAGGAACTGCACTCACTCCTGAAGAATTACGCTCAGATGTTCACCTGGGAGGGAGCAAAACTGGGACGAACGAACGTAGTCAAACGCAGAATCGATACGGGCGAGGCCAAACCGGTCTAGCAGCCTCCTAGACGCATACCACCACCTCTCCAAGACGAAGTACATCGACTGATTGACGAGATGCTGCGCGATAACGTTATCAGGCCCTCTCAGTCACCCTGGGATTCTCCCAATGCATTAGTTAAAAAGAGTGACTGTAGTCTACGTCTATGCGTCGATTATAGGAGGCTCAATGCAGTAACAAAGAAGGATGCGTTCCCTCTACCCCACATTAAAGACTCGTTGGATTCTCTACAAGGAGCGAAGTGGTTCTCGACATTGGATCTGGAGTCCGGCTACTGACAGGTGGAGGTAGCGGAGAAGGATAGAGAAAAACCGCCTTTATTGTGCCAAATGGCTTACACGAGTTCCAAACGATGCCCTTTGGGCTTTGCAACGCAGCAACCACCTTCCAGCGTCTTATGTAGACGGTATTGCGTGGTCTATTCCCGAAGCACTGCATTATCTATCTGGATGATATTCTCGTTTTCGGGAAAGACATCAAACAACATAACTCTAACCTCCGATTAATGATAGATCGACTTCGGGAAACAGGTCTGACCTTGAATCCGAAGAAATGCAATTTTCTCCAAAAGTCGGTCACGTTTCTGGGACACACAATTTCTGCGGACGGGATTTCAGTCACCGAAGACAGAACAAGAGAAGTAAGGACCTGGCCGACACCTACAAACCAAACAGAACTTCGCAGTTTCCTTGGTTTGGCTAACTATTATCGACGTTTTGTAAAAGGGTTCGCCAAGATCGCAAGTCCCCTGTACAAGTTGACAGAGAAACAGGCAAAAAAGGAGTTTCGTTGGGAGAACGAACACACAGAAGCGTTTAGGAGTTGAAGCGCGCTCTTTGCGCGGCACCGATCTTGTCTTTACCAAACTTCAACGCCGAGGCCCCTCCTTTCGTGCTGGATACAGACGCAAGTGACGAGGCGGTGGGCGGAGTCCTATCCCAGAAAGACAAGGACGGGAGAGAACATGTGATCGCGTATGCCAGCTCACGTCTCAGCAAAAAGATGAAGCGGAAGAGTGCGATGGAACGGGAACTTTTCGCCATCTATACTATGATTAGACATTTTAAGCACTACTTGATGGGAAAGCAATTCGTTGTGGGGACAGACCATCAAGCGTTGACATGGTTGAAAACAATGAAGGAAATCGATCGTTCGGTTGCACGGTGGTACGAGGAGTTGCAACAATATGATCTCATAGTGCAATACAGGAAGGGAAGCTCTCACGGCAATGCGGACGCGCTGTCACGGAGACCTTTATCATCGCCCTCGGATGGCGACACAGTAGGTGCGCTGTTGCTGAGTAAGCCTACTTCTCACTACTGGAGAACCACGCAGAGCTCCGACCCCGATACAGCTTTAGTCTATGAAAGACTAAGGACGGCCTCAACCAAGCCCACAGTCGAGGAAATGAAGTTAGCGAGCAAGAGAGCCAAGCAAATATGGCAGAATTGGAATAAACTCTCCCTAGAGGACGACGTCATGTCGTACAAAGATGATGACGAGATAGGTTCTAAGCGTCCCGTAGTACCCGGTTCCTTGGTGCAGCCATCATTGTTGGAATTGCATGAGCAACTTGGCCATGTGGGGGACAGGTATTGGTGGCCTTCGATGACATCGGACGTTCCTGATTTTTGCCGCGCATGCGCTACGTGTACCAACCTGAAGAACTCGACCCGCACGGCGATAGCTGGCTTGCAGTCGATGGCCACGGGTTTTCCTGGAGAGCGAGTAGGCATAGACATTATAGGTCCCCTT